TAAGGTGCCACAAGTACTCCTGTTCTTCTTTTTGCGGATACAGACTAACACGGCTGCTACTCTGAAACTTGATTTGTCTGGGTTTAATTTGAATCAGCTGGATTGTGCAAACAGGGTGTACTGTTCTGAACTATGGACTTCTGTACACACCAAGCATGCTGCCTTTAGGCATTTGGCCCCCAGGACATAGCCATTTTGGTGGATGGCTGAAAATCTTTTGAAGTACTCATTACACTTCGTTTACACTTTTTAACAAACAGCATGAGATAAAGCCAAGCCCTAGGGTAGCAAATCAAATTGTTTTGAACAAGGATCCCTTCTTGCTATCCTGAAAAGCCACGGTTGTGCCTAATCATGTCTCTACACAAAAATCCAAAGCAGGGCATATTTCCAAGTCAGTGATTTGATTCTCACTTCCCCAGCTGGTATAGCATGGGGGGAGATATTCGATTTAACAACTCGAGACAAACACACATCAGGGATGGTCTAGATAATACTTAGTCCTGCCTTGAGTGCAGGGCACTGGACTAGATGACCTCTTGAGATCCCTTCCAGTTCTATGATTCTATGAAAACCTACCCAGTTCTTACCAGATAATGCTGTCTCCTAAATACTGTTCTAAACATGAAGATATCTGGGTATTATGGTCAGAGGATACAGTAACAGGGGAGTTAAATGGTCTCTCCTGATGGTTTGGTATGGATTGTGTGCCACATTCCTAGCAAACTGTCATTCCCACCAAGAACAGGAATAGTTGCTTGCTTTATTTTCCCCAGTGATTGCAAGCTAAGTTGTGCATTGTTACCCATGTTGTTCATATCTGAACAGGACGTCAGAAGTTGCATTGCTGAGTTGTGGCCATTGCATCAGAAGAAATTAAATGGTTTTAAAATGAATCATTACAAAGTAAATATAAAAGCCTGAGTCTTGAGGTTCATCAAGACGCAAATATGAGTTCAAGTTTTAAAGATTCTTTATTTTAATGTCTGACTTCTGCTGATTGATATGCGACAGAACTGGAAAACTTTGCTTGAAACTGAAAATATGAAAATCCTGTCTACATCATGAGACATTCAGCCTGACTAGGAAAGAGTAGTAGATTTATAGCTTAAACCTCTGTAGCCTTGTTTAGGACCTGCATTTTTTGAGTTTTCAGGTTCATGTATTTACATGCACAGATGACTGAATGCCTATCTAGCCAATGCACATGCAAAAACGCACAAGAGGATCTCTCATTTTAAAATAAAGCCCCAGCGTCTCTTTCTCTCTATTAAGACAGGAGCGACGTGCTTGGAGGGCTGAGTGAAAACAGGTCCAATAATCCTTATGTCAGTTCTCACTGGCTCTCCTTGAACCCTATTAATAAGATGTCTGGAGACTTAAACTGGAAGCTTTCCAACTTGTTTCAGTTTTTTCCTTCTTTCTTTCAGTGCTCCATGTTTCTAATTCAAGTGATAGGGAATTGTCCTCTTACTCATTTTGGTGGCGTTGGTCCATATGCTAAATGCTTGAACTTGTGATCACTATAATTACTTGTACACCCAATGGCGGTGTGACAACCTTGTGTGTGTGTCTCAGAAAAAATTGTCAGAGCATGAGCGGAGGGTTCTCAAGCTGGTTCCAAGTGACTGTTTTGACTATGATGGGCCACTGCCAGATACTTGATGGTATTACATTTTTATCTTTCTCTCTCTCATTTGTAATATCCTCTTTGAAGCTAGAAAATGTCCTTATTGATCTTCTTTTCTGGCAAATGCTTTCCCTTGTGCTTTCAGCAAAATTACATTTTTGCTTAATGTTAATTGCTTGTTACGCTACTTGGTTAATGTCACTTTCTTTGGAGCACAAGCATTGCCAGTGGGTATCTGCATAACCCTGAGAATAGTGCTGCTTGGACTCCCTTAGCTGCCTTATGGTCTGTCTTTGCAAGAGTGGAGCCTAAAACATTGTAGGTCCGACCTAAAGAAAAGCTACTGGAGTTCCCAGATTTAGGGACTCTCAAACTTTAGAATCAAAGGAATTTAAATATTTTAAAATGATATTTGGATTCTGTGGTGATAGGTGGCCCTAGAAATACCTTAAGTAGATGAATACCTTACCTTTTAAATTGGTCAAATTATAATCTTAAACTGCTTAATTGTATATCTACGGGCTTGATGAGCCAGAGTTTGAAAACTCATACTTAAATTATTTTCTCACGTGAAACAGAATGTCTCTACTTGAGTCTTAATGAGTGACCAACGTTTCTCTTAAATTTTGTTTATACTTATGGTTATCTTTGAGGTCACAAGCTACCCACAAATGATTGCCTTAAATTGTTACTTCAGACAAAATGAAAGTCAGGCAAATGGTCATTAGGTAGAGGCACAAAGTGCCCATTGTCTTTCTGTTTCCAACTGGAAGTTAAAACAGCTGACATGTCTCCATGCTCCCAAACCAGGGGCGGCTCTATGTATTTTGCCGTCCCAAGCACGGCAGTCAGGCGGCTTTCAGCGGCACACCTGCGGGAGGTCCGCTGGTATCGCGGAGTCGGCGGCATGCCTGTAGGAGGTCTGCCAGTCCCGCGCCTTCGGTGTACCCCCTGCTGAATTGCCGCCGAAACCGCAGGACTAGTGGACCTACCGCAGGCATGCTGCCGAAGGCTGCCGCCCTCACGGCGACCGGCAGGCCGCCCCCCACGGCTTGCCGCCCGAGGCACGTGCTTGCTGCGCTGGTGTCTGGAGCCGCCCCTGTCCCAAACGCCTACTTTCTCCCCCAACAACCTTCAAATGATGCATATTTGCATAGTACCAGAAATGTGTGGTACTCGTAGGTCTGCAAGATAATGGCTCCTGCCTCGAAGAGAAAGATGGAGTCTCTTTCGAGCAGCACTGCACAGGTTGTGCTATCTTATTTTTAGCAGCTCCCACTTTGAAAGGCAGGAGTAGAGTTGACAGGCTGTTTAGAAGAGGTGTTTGAGAGGAAGACATGGCAGGGGTGCACAGCAGATCAGGAAGGGAGATCCAGGCTGTATGGGGCAGAGTAGAAGAAAGTGAAGGAGCTTTATCCAGATAACTTTTGGAGCAATTGGATTACATCTCTACCCAGGATGGAGATGATCATAGAATATGAGGATGGGATAGCTGGTCCGTCCTCTTTCTCTGTGTATTGGGTGATGCAGGCAGGCTGCTAGGAGTCCAGTGTCCTGGGATTCCCTTTAGTTCTATTTTTCACCTCTTGAGTGACCGCTTCCCTGCACCTTCCCACCCAAACTTCTGCATATTGAGGATAAATATACTTTCCCACTACATTTGCAACACATTCATGGGATATAAAGGCATGAAATAAAACTGCTTCTTAGCTTAGCTATAAACACCGGCAGCCAACAGGCAAATGGTTTTCAAGTGATCCCATTTGAATGCTTTACACCTCCAAGCAGCACCCCTTAAATGCAGTACTATGTTGAAAAGTCATAAAAAGAACAGTGCCTTGTTCCCGAAATCTGTGCCCCCTGCGTAGGCAGGCAGACTAGCTCACTGTAGTGAGAAAAAGTGTTTACTGGTTAATTCCTCTTAACCCTGCTGGTTCCTTCTTGGGCATCAATAGAATTGTTCAACGGCAATCAATTCCATCTGTACAAACCCACTGAAAGCCCTTGAGGGCTGTACAGGTGCCTCTGAAGGCCTGATTGGCCTGTGGAGCCTTTGTTGCTGGTGCTGATGCACGAGAAGGAAAGAGACCAGTTTGACTGGCAGAGCAGAGCCCAGGTTCAGTTTGATTGGGCTGGCAGTTAACTGAGCAGATGTTAACAGAAATCATCGAGATACAGAGCCTCACAGTGATGTTTGTCACCCTTCAGACTAAAACCACACTGAGAACAGAGCGCGAGAACGGAACTCTGGTGAGAACTTGGTGATGAAGGGACCTGCCAGGGCTCTGTAAATAGCTTTAAATAGAGAGAGTCTGGAACCCTGCTGGGAGGATGTTCATTTTAGTTCTCTCTCCGTGGACCGAGATTTCCCAAAGCTATGTTCTTATTGGTGCACCATGCTGTGGAGACCTTGGCTCTGGCTTTAAAAGGCCCCGTGCTGAGCAGGTTAAAAGGGTGGTAGAAACAATCAGTGGGCGTAAAATGGTACAAGGCAGCTAGAGAGGAAGGCTCAGGAAGAGAGTTTTAAAATGCCCCATTCCACCCTTGTGCCAAGCCGTCCATTCAGCAGTAGCGTGAGCACCTCCAGCAACTTCTCTGACTTTCTCTTGTGAAAACGTAGGGAACTGTTCTGTATTTCATATTCAGTTTGTACAAGGAAGTGTGTTGAAAGAGGCTGTTGGGCAACAAACTTCAGCTGAAAAGGCAGCCTCGCTTCAGGGGAATGGTGCTGGGAGGGGATAATAGTTAGAATACCTTTGTCAGGCTCTTGGGAGAGGGCAGCCCGACATGGGACTAAGGAATGAGAGCACTTGGTTCTATCCCAGAGGTGGGCAAACTACGGCCCGCGGGCCACATCCGGCCCACGGGACTGTCCTGCCCGCCCCTTGAGCTCCCGGCCGGGGAGGCTAGCCCCTGCCCCTCCCCTGCTGTCCCCCCAGCCTCAGCTTGCTGTGCTGCCAGTGCTCTGGGCGGCGGGGCTGTGAGCTCCTGCCGGGCAGCGCAGCGGGGCAGCTGGCTCTGGCCGGGCGGCGCGGTTGCCAGTCCTGGCGCTCTGAGCGGCATGGTAAGGGGGCGGGGAGCGGGGGGTTGGATAAGGGGCAGAGGGTCCCAGGGGGCAATCAGGGAGCAGGGGGCGGTTGGATAGGCATGGGAGTCCCGGGGGGGGCCTGTCAGGGGGCAGGGGTATGGATAGGGGTTGAGGCAGTCAGGGGACAGGGAGCGGGGGGGTTGGCTAGAGGGTGGGGTCCCGGGGGGGCCGCTAGGGGCGGGGGATCGTGGGAAGGGGGGGTCGGGGCCAAGGAGCAGGGGGGGGGTTGGGGATTCTGAGGGGGGCAGATAGGGGGCGGGGGCCAGGCTGTTTGGGGAGGCACGGGAGTTAGTTGCCTAAGTATTTTTGAGGATATGGGCCTCAGTCTCTCATTTTCCATCTGTAAAATGGGAACAATAATCTGTCCCAGCTGTCTCAAATCTACAGAGGAAAGGTGCTATGTTCGTGAAGATGATTATGGTCTGTCCTTCGTGGAAAGATTAATTTCATAAACCCCCAAACTTTTCAAAATGGCTTGTTTGAAAACTAAAGAAATGTTCAGATGAAAGAGCTGTGCTCCACTAGCACTAATCTGCTCCAGGGCACGCGTAAGAAGGCTGCTGGTGTGCTGGAGGAGAGCAGAAGGTTCTCCGGTGAGCCCCAGTAGCCAACAGACAGCCTGTTGTAGCTTATTGCTGTATCTTTGTCTCGTCCTTGCTGACTTGTGCCTGCTTCACCGAGTTGCGCTTGGATGTTAGGATCACCCGAGCTCATGAAAATCGAATTGAGTTTGCACCCCAAGAGGCACTAAACAGTTCCTGGGCTTGTAAATGTTCTTTGTACATTGCTGGATGAATAGGCAGCTTATTGGAGCAGGGATGGTGAAGGCTGGGCTGTTCAGGAGCGTTGCTGAGGGCGCCTTGGGCATAGGCGGTGACTTGTTTACATCACTCTTCAGCGTTTAACCGGACACCGCTCCAGAGCTGAAGAGAATTCAGGATCAGCTCTAGTTTCTTGGAATGTGAATCTCAAATCGCCACGGTGGGGTTTTCTTGAAACTACCAGGCAATGCCCTGAGCCAGCAGCTGGCTTTGAAGTTAATGAAATCAAACAATTTGACTGGGCTTTGAGGAGACGCTTGTTTATTAAAAAGGAAAAAAGGTTCAGTCCTGCTATTTTCTATAAAACTCAATGTGCATGTCATGCTTCGCATAGCTGCTGCTTCCTAGCGCCATGCTGGGCCTCTTGGGAAGGAGGGAAGAGCTCACCCCATGGGGTAAGAGCAGTGAAACCGGGTCGGGCTGAGGAAGGTGCCGATGATGGATATAAAGTGAAATGCTAAATCGTGACCCAAGGGGAGGCTCACGCTGGGCGTGACTGGGTGACAAAGATATTAGTGGTATTGCTGATGAGTTGTGCTTTAAAGTGCACCCTGGGTCTTAAATGCTTCCCCTGCTGCTTTCCAGTAGCAGTGATTACTAATCCCAATAGGAGAGAGTGAGATTGTGTAGATCACTTACACTGCCAGTAATGGACTCAATACTGTGATCTCTTTCCCACCTTGCGATGATGTCTCTGAACTGCTTTTCCCTTCCATGTTACTCTCTCTGTCCCTTTGCGGCAGCTGTCACTCTAGCCTTCTTGATTAGTGTAGAGAGTCTCGATACGCAGCGGAAATGTGAACGCTAATATTCTCCTAAGCAGCTGCTGTCTGATGTTGCAGGGGATCATCCAGTCTAGGGGAAGCAAAGGGGCAATGACGGGTCTGTAGGATGCCGACATTCCCCACTGCCGAATCTGTGTCCTCATCTCCATGTCCATATCCTGCTAACCAACGTAACCCTACACTGATACCTGGCACTCCCGTTGAGTTCAGGCCCTGGCTCCCGGCATTAGAAAAGGATGCAGAGTGGCTTCAGTACTTGAAGACGTGGGGGTTAGGAACTAAGAGGTGCAGTTTTAGACTAAAACAATCAAGATCTGAATATTTATTTTCCCTTCTCTTTCTCTCCCACAATCTGTTTCAGCAACTGTACCAGATCCTGACAGACTTTGATATTCGGTTTTATATGTATGAGCTGCTCAAGGTGAGTGATGGTCATGAAGAGTCTGGGCTGGGGGAATGAAGGTCTCTGAGGCAATGGCAGAATTCCTGGAGCAGCCCTCTGGCAAATTGACTCTTCGGCTTGTTCCCTCTCTGGTAGTTGATGCAGAATTGTTGTCACATAAGAGCCCATTGGGGAGGGTTGGCGTGAGAAGATCAAACCAACCAGCCTCTGTGGAGGAGAGAAGAAGGTGGGAGGTTCAGAACTGAACTGGGGCTCTTTAGTTGTCTTTTATACTGTCGGTATCTGGTCTTTTTCCAGAAAGGAGTTCCCTATCAGTAGTGACTGTGTAGGTAAGTGGAGAGTAAAGCACCAGGGACAAAGCGCTGGAAGTGGGTGGGGTGAAGGGAGTAGCCAAGGTGAGCTAGGCATGGTTGGCATTATGCAAAGCCAGAGGGGGTGGATCACCAACCCTGTGTTGTCTTGATCTCGCAGAACCTGAGCGCATGCCCAAGAGGGGCATTTTCCTGAGCTTTTACAGAACTTGCTTTGGTAGCCCCAATTGTCCAGAGTCACCAGGGCAATTAGGGAGTTGGGTGGGAGGTAGGTGGCTTCAAATCTTCCTTCCCCTGAATGAGCCTGTGGGTCAGAAACAAGCTGGCTGGTTAAATGCTTTGAAATCTTTCAAAGCCCCAAGTGTTTTCTGTCGGTGGGGCTGAGGCTTTAGACCCCCATGGCTCTGCTGGTATTTGACTTACATCTGTTAGGGTCACTAAGGCCCTTTGAGACCCGACTTAGGTGCCTTACTGTAAGTTTCTATTTGGCTGGTTCTTCTTTCAAATGACAGAGAGGGAAGAAAAGGGATGAATGCCATCCTCAAGTGAGCAGTGTGTGCCCTTACGCTCTTTTGGTTTCATTAGACTGCCCCACTCCTTCTCTTGAGAGGCTGGCGTACCACCATGTGGCAGGTTTTGAGATCTGCTGAACCGTCTCTATGGGATCTCAAGCTTCAGTGTGAAGGAGCTAGCAGAGCACTTCAGTTCTCAAAGCTGTGCTCTGGGCACTATCGTGTTGAATCTCTGCCAAGGCAGCCGCTGTTGTCTGTCTTGGTTCCCAGCAGGGCAACTGGATGATTAAAACTGCCATTTCCAGGCCTTTTGAGCTGGCTTTGGGTCTGGAAGTGTCAGAGAAGATTGCTCGAGCCCTGGAGTGTCCACTCCAGGAGTCAGTGACTCAAGATGACCACTTGGGATAGATCTCCTAGCCAGCCCAAGCTGTGGCTACCCGTCCGTGTTCCCAGTCCTTTCAGGGAATGATTGTGTCTGTCTACTGCCTTGTTCCTCTCCCTCATTTCAATAAAAATAGAAGAGCCTGGAGCTTCACAGCATGCCTTGAATTCAATCAGAAGGGGATTTCCCTCCCAGACAAACGGCATAAGGAATTCAGCTTCACAAAGACAGCGAAGGTAGAGAATGCGTTGGCCTCTTTCAGTGTCTTCCATGTGAGGATCTCCGAGCACTTGACAAACCTTGATAGATTTAGCTCCGCCATCTCTTAGAGGTAGAGAAGCTGCATACTCCTCACTTAATACACGGAGAACAGCTTCACAGAGACACAGCTGGTCCAGGGTCCTCAAGCTGAGAGTAGAACTCAGGTCTGTGCACTCTCTGCTTGTGTTTCCTGCCTTGTTCTTTGAACCACGTCGTCATTCCTTCCATAGTGTTCAAGTCATTATGCGCCTTGCACATGTGTGATCTTGGTTTAGAAATTATTGGTAGATCCAAGCAAATTCTGGAGGCTCAAAAGAAAAGCCATCCTCAAAGGCCCTAAAACATTGAGCAAATGGTAGAAATCGCTGCATTCCTGGGGAGTTCCTCTCCTGCCAGCAGTGACAGCGGAAATGACGGCCAGTCACTTGTGGTTGTGGACCTATCTACTGATAGGACATCTATCTCACTGGCTCTTGAGCTCTGAAGTACATGCTGGGAGCACAGATCCAGGAGTCGGGGCCTTGTACAACAAATGAACCAAGTGTAGAATGGCAGCTGCATAGTCCTCTTGTTCTCTACCAGCAACATGCCACTTCTGCCACAACCAGGATAGTGAGCGAAACAAGGGTCCTGGTTGTTCGGAGTCCTTCAGGTTCTGTACTCTCTTCATTCGGGCACACCTACTTTATTGGCCGGAGAACCATGTGCTACATCGTGGACTTTTGTCTGTGTTTACTGGTTTGTCTAACATAAATGTATATTGTCTGTCTGCCAGGCCCTGGATTACTGTCACAGCATGGGGATCATGCACAGGGACGTCAAACCCCACAACGTCATGATAGACCACCAACAGAAAAAGGTACTGCTGCCGTGGGGCCCAAAGTTATCGAGGTTTCAGGGCAGCTTGAAACTTTGCCACCACGGTGTCCATAGTCTAGGCTGCTGCTTTCTTATTCCCGCCCCCAACCACTCTCTCTTCCCCGAGTGAGATCACTTGTACTCTACATGTATTGGGGATTGTCTGTCTGAGCTAGCATACTTGACTTCTGCTGCCTTTTCTCTGAGCTCTACAGAAGCAAAGTGCTCTGACTTGGCCAGGATGGGGAGGGGATTGCTTCTAATTACTCCAATTCCTCTGGTTATTTGGGGAGTGGTTTCCAACCTTTGCTAAAAGAGAAGGGTTACTGCTACCGTCTGGAAAGCTTGGGGCAGGGGGGTAAGAGAAATAGAGGGAGGGGGATGGGGCACAAGTGAGAGGACAGATGGGCAGAAGTTCCTCTGTTGGACAGTGTGATCGTTACGATTGTTTGGATGTGACATCCTATCTTGTCTGAAGAGTACATGGATTTTATACACTGGGAACGTAAGCTTCTCCTGTCGTTGGATCCAGTGAAGTTATAGTCTCAATACAGAGTTTTGCTTTCTTAAGGGACAGGTGATATTGGTGCGTGGGGGGTGTGTGGAATCTAGCAGTTCTCTAGCGTTTGGTTTGGTTTGTTTTTAAACCTGCTAAGTAGAAGACCCTTCCCCCAGTTAAATCCCCAAAAGCCAAGAGGCTCAGAGTAGCAGCTGTTGCTCCAGCCCTGGCTCATCTGTATTATGTGAGACCACAGCATTTTCAGAGCCCTCGAGTAACTTCACTCCACTGGCTTGAGCGCTGTGTCCCCCTCTGAATTCTGTAGCTATTGTAGGTTTCAGATGACTTTTCTAAGTGGATGAAGTTAGTGGATAACCTCCTTTCACCTGCAGTCACTAGACTGGCTTGATCTCCTAGATGAAAGCCTGTGGCTTATCTGCACTGGCCTGCCATGTGCAATACTGTGGCCTCTTTTTCCACTTCTGTCCTGTGTCATTTTTGATGGACACTGGTCAATCCATGGGATAAAATACCTTAGTGGGTACTTGCCCATTGTGTCAGCAACCTGATGTCCAGCACTGGAGTGCCATCTTAACTTCATGGCTGCATGCGGCAGTGAACTGCTGATTTTCCCCTTTCCCATTTGGGGTAGATGCTGCATATACCAAAGGGACAGTGGTATCTCAGGGTCTTTCCCTCCATCTGCCCAGTTCAAGTGATGCCTTGGAGTCCTCCCACATGCATATTTCTCCTGAGCTGCTAAGCCACCGTTCCCTCCCTGTGAATCAGCAGTAGTGGTCTCCCAGCCGATGCCGGCAGCTCAGGGGTTGATAGTCTCCCTGGCACTTATAACGCCATCTGCAGGTCCATGCAAGTGTGGTGCAGTCTGCATTTCTCACCTGAAAGGGCAGCTCATCCCCTCTGCTCGAGCCAGTGACTCTCTCGTAGCTCTTCCCACTTGTTAGCATTGATGCTGCCTTCACGCCCAGCTGTGCTTTTGATTTTTGTTTAATGCGGCTGGTTCCTGCTTGTTCCCTAGCATCCAATTAACTGTCTTTTTATTTGACTGGTGGCGTTAGTAACACATGAGTCACCCAGCAATAGATTATTTGATTAGGGTTGCAAGGCAGAGAATTCTCTGAGCCATGGTAATGCCACAAAGCACCGCAGATAATAGAGTGAGGTGATAGCACGAGCAGAGTCCAGACGATACCGCATCACTGCACAAAGGGCTCCGGGCTTTCACCAAACCATTGAAAAAGGCTTTGGCAAACTTGGCTTCACCTGACTTGTTTGTACTTGGCAACTAAACCTGTTTGCTCCTACTCTGTGTGTTTTTCTTTTATTGCATGTTTAGTTGCGGCTCATAGACTGGGGTTTGGCAGAGTTCTACCATCCAGCTCAGGAATACAATGTCCGCGTGGCCTCGAGGTACTTCAAAGGACCGGAGCTCCTTGTGGACTACCAAGTAAGAGTCTGCATCCAAATCGCTACTTAGTGCGTTGCTTGTGGTTGCACTCAGGCCACTTTGGGTTTGTCCATTTGTCCTCTGGGGGTTACCAGGTTAGAGCAACTTTGCCATGAAGTTGAAAAACTGAGAGCCTCCTTTGACTAGGGGTCTTTTGGGGCTTGGGCCTAAGGCAAGTGTGACCTTTCTCCATTTGATTTTCTTCTCCTCTCCTCAGATGTATGACTATAGCTTAGACATGTGGAGTTTAGGCTGCATGCTGGCCAGCATGATCTTCCGAAAGGAGCCCTTCTTCCATGGCCAGGACAACTATGACCAGGTGAGGAGATGCTGTCTGACTCTGAAAGGGGGAATTCTTGTTTGCCTCTTTCCGTTGGTTGGGGGTGAGGTTCCTGGGCTGGGACCATCTGATTAGTAAGGCATTGTTATGCATTTGGTTGAACTGAGGTGTCAGGACTTGCACAACAGAAAGTGTGTGCCTTCTGGAAGGTCCAGTGATATGTGGCACAAATTGTTGTGGTGCTGGAGAAACAAATTTGCAAGGGAGCTTTCCTGGGACCTCAGGATTTCCCCAATGCTGAGCTCCTAATGTCTGGCTGCCCAGGTGCTAACGGACTAACTTCCCACTCTTGTTTGTGGTTAACATGGATGCAGCAGCCTTCCATCCATCCATCCAGTACAGTGGTGGTGGGACATTCTCTTAAGTCAGTGACCTGCCCTTCTCTTGTTGCTTCTGTAAATCTGTCTTTTGTTGCAGCTGGTTCGCATTGCTAAGGTTCTGGGCACAGATGAACTGTATGGGTATCTGAAGAAGTACCACATAGAACTGGATCCGCACTTCAATGATATCCTGGGACAGTAAGTAGGGGAGGCAAGAAGCAAAACATGACTTTTGGTTTATTTTCCTTAAACATCCATCCCAAGAGTGACTCCAAAGCACAAGTGCTGCTTTAGGTCTCCTGGGCTGCAGTGTCATTTGTCAGCCTGTTATCTAGCTATTGATGTAACTTAGGTTTTTTTTCTATCCTCTGGCTGTCTATGCACTGAACAAGCCACTAGATTTTCATAGTAGATTTGGTTCTCTGCCTCTCCCGGGTTCCGAGAGCTCGTCTAGGTTTATTTTTCTCCCTATGTTAGGGGCTGCATCTCACATTCCTCATGATGCCAGTAAAATGACTGAAATGGATTGGGGGGGAACCTAACACAGATGCTGGGAATTGTCCCCTCTACGAATCAGTCATAGAGTTTAAGGCCAGAAAGGACCATCAGATCATAGAATCCTAGAATATCAGGGTTGGAAGGGACATCAGGAGGTCATCTAGTCCAACCCCCTGCTCAGAGCAGGACCAATTCCCAACTAAATCATCCCAGCCAGGGCTTTGTCAAGCCTGACCTTAAAAACCTCTAAGGAAGGAGATTCCACCACCTCCCTAGTATCAGGGGGTAGCCGTGTTAGTCTGTATCTACAAAAACAACAAGGAGTCTGGTGGCACCTTAAAGACTAACAGATTTATTTGGGCATAAGCTTTCGTGGGTAAAAACCTCACTTCTTCAGATGCACCTCCCTAGGTAACCCATTCAAGTGCTTCACCACCCTCCTAGTGAGAGAGTTTTTCCTAATATCCAACCTAAACCTCCCCAACTGCAACTTGAGACCATTACTCCTTGTTCTGTCATCAGGTACCACTGAGAACAGTCTAGATCCATCCTCTTTGGAGCCCCCTTTCAGGTAGTTGAAAGCAGCTATCAAATCCCCCCTCATTCTTCTTTTCTGCAGACTAAACAATCCCAGTTCCCTCAGTCTCTCCTCATAAGTCATGTGCTCCAGCCCCCTAATCATTTTTATTGCCCTCCGCTGGACTCTTTCCAATTTTTCCACATCCTTCTTGTAGTGTGGAGCCCAAAACTGGACACAGTACTCCAGATGAGGCCTCACCAATGTCGAATAGAGGGGAATGATCACGTCTCTCGGTCTGCTGGCAATGCCCCTACTTATACAGCCCAAAATGCCGTTTGCCTTCTTGGCAACAAGGGCACACTGTCGACTCATATCCAGCTTCTTATCCACTGTAACCCCTAGGTCTTTTTCTGCAGAACTGCTTCCTAGCCATTCGGTCCCTAGTCTGTAGCAGTGAATGGGATTCTTCCATCCTAAGTGCAGGACTCTGCACTTGTCCTTGTTGAACCTCATCAGGTTTTTTGGTCCAATCCTCTAATTTGTCTAGGTCCCTCTGTATCCGATCTCTACCCTCCAGCGTATCTACCACTCCTCCCAGTTTAGTGTCATCTGCAAACTTGCTGAGAGTGCAGTCCACGCCACCCTCCAGATCATTAATGAAGATATTGAACAAAACCGGCCCCAGGACCGACCCTTGGGGCACTCCGCTTGATACCGGCTGCCAACTAGACATGGAGCCATTGATCACTACCCGTTGAGCCCGACGATCTAGCCAGCTTTCTATCCACCTTATAGTCCATTCATCCAGCCCATACTTCTTTAACTTGCTGGCAAGAATACTGTGGGAGACTGTATCAAAAGCTTTGCTGAAGTCAAGGAATAACACGTCCACTGCTTTCCCCTCATCCACAGAACCAGTTATCTTGTCATAGAAGGCAATTAGGTTAGTCAGGCACGACTTCCCCTTGGTGAATACATGCTGACTGTTCCTGATCACTTTCCTCTCCTCTAAGTGCTTCAGAATTGATTCCTTGAGGACCTGCTCCATGATTTTTCCAGGGACTGAGGTGAGGCTGACTGGCCCGTAGTTCGCCGGATCCTCCTCCTTCCCTTTTTTAAAGATGGGCACTACATTAGCCTTTTTCCAGTCATCTGGGACCTCCCCCGATCGCCATGAGTTTTCAAAGATAATGGCCAATGGCTCTGCAATCACATCCGCCAACTCCTTTAGCACCCCCGGATGCAGCGCATCTGGCCCCATGGACTTGTGCTCATCCTGGTCTGACCTCTTGCATACGACAGACCACCACCACCACCACCTAGCATCTGGTTGCTAACCCCAACAACCAAAATTAGACCCACTGGAGGCAAGCAGGCAGAACATAGGGGGACCGAGGTGCACCAGTATCTGAGGCCCCTGCAATGGCAGGGAAATCCTGACAAGTGACCGCAAACACATGCAGCAAAGGAAGGCGAGAAATCCCCCAGGCCACTCACAATCTGATCTGGGGGGAAATTCCTTCCCGACCCCACATGTGGGATCTGTGCTTTCCTTAGATCCCAGAAATTGCTTTGCCTTCATGCTCCCAGCTTGCAAAATTGTCACACACATTTGCCAGCCCAGACCCAGGACCTACTTGCCCACCCTTTCCCATGACGATAATGAGAAACAAGGGTTGATATTTTCTAAACAGGGCAAGGGATTTAATCACACCTCTGCCAGTAAAATTAGTGGGAGATGTGTGGCTGAATCCACTGCATTGCTTTGAAAGTCTTTGATGATGATCTCTTACTGGTCTGTCAGAGTAAAATTACCCATCTCGCGTGATGGCAAGTAGAAATTTGCAAGGCTGGCTTCAAACTAGAGACATTCTCGCCATTCTGAGCCTGCTTTTGAAGCCCTTGTATCTGATAGACTAAGGCCGGAAGGGGCCATCCTGATCATCTAGTCTGACCTCCTGCACATTGCAGGCTACAGAACCTAGCTATCACCCATGTTGTTTGGAATTCATGCCTGTTCTTTATTGAATGGAACCCTGGACAGCAATGGACCTCTGTAAAGCTGGTCATACAGAGAGCACGTCTAAATTAGCCTTACTGTGCGGTTCTCTCCCTCTCATTGGGATATCCTAGAATATCAGGTTGGAAGGGACCTCAGGAGGTCATCTAGTCCAACCCCCTGCTCAAAGCAGGATCAATCCCCAATTAAATCATCCAACCAATTTTTGCCCCATATCCCTAAATGGCCCCCTCAAGAGTTGAACTCACAACCCTGGGCTTATGCTCAAATCACTGAGGTATCCCTCAAGCCCAGCGCTGCCAAAAGCCAAGTATGCTGGCTTGTAAAGGAAAAGGCTTGAGTGGCACTGTCTTTGTTGGGTGTCACTAGTGAAATGCTGGATTCTGCATGTAGAGGGGGTTGGTAGGTAGCTCTAATTAGATCCAACACTGCCCTTTAAATTCACATATGGGGTGTGGTAGGTGAACCCTCCTAGGGTCTGATGGTAGCTGCTGTGCCATTCAGAGATTGGTCTGTACAATGAAAGACATCCCTCTGCTACAGGCACTCGCGAAAACGCTGGGAGAACTTCATCCATAGCGAGAACAGACACCTGGTCAGTCCTGAAGTCCTGGACCTTCTGGACAAACTTCTGCGATATGACCATCAACAGAGACTGACTGCCAAAGAGGCTATGGAGCACCCATATTTCTGTGAGTCCTGGGGGGAGCAAGACCTGGGGTCAGAGTCACATGACTGGGCTGGAAAAGGAAAGGAGGGTTTGTTGATCAGGTGGGAGGTGGGTCTTCCATTCAGTACCTCCCTATGGATCTTGCTATCATATTGATGGCTGGAATTCCAGGTTCTCCAAAGTCTAATGGAAGCTTGTGCTGCTTGAAGGGGGGTTCCTTGGAAGGACCTAAGCTTTCCTGAAAGTGAAGCTTTGATATTGCTCGTAGTAATGCTGCTTCCCGTCCCTGGCTGATCCTTGTGTCTCTTGCAGACCCGGTGGTGAAGGAGCAGTCCCAGCCCAGCTCAGAAAATGCCGTGCTCTCCAGTGGCCTGACAGCAGCACGATGAAGACTGGAAAACAACGGGTAACTCAAGATGTTTACAAATAAAAACAAAACCTTCAGTCACACAGTGAAGGGACTAACCAAGACCCCTCCCCCATTTATACTCAGCAGAAATCTAACCTTTGCGGGGCTAACACCTTTGTTCCTCTCTGGTGGTTGTGGATAATGTAACTCAACCTGTGGTACCAAAGCCCTGGGCAAATGGTTTGCAAGATACCCAGGGCTCACGGCGACTGATTCTTGTTCACATTTCCATGGCGCCTGCTCTTCCTTTCCAATCCAGCCTTTTCCTACCACGCTGGTGGAGCAAACTTGCCATTCCACCAGTGGACCATAGCATGCATCTAGATAAATAAGCCCTTTGGAACTGTGGACACTTGGGGCCAAATTCAGACTGGGTATAAGCAGATGCAGCTCTGAGGTCTGGGAGTCGCACCCGCTCACTCCAGGTCCGAGTTTGGCCCTTTCATTTCGGTTTCAGTTGCAGAGGAAAAGTGTGTCTCGGGATTGGTTTGGATCATTTAAAACCAACAGCCACCTTCTAAGTTGCTCAGAGAGAGGTGAGCACCCCTGCAAGTGCATTCAGAAAAGGTGGTGGGCCTGTTAGGGAAAGTCCTGAATGTAGAGGCAGAAGGTTTTTTCTGTAGCAGGCAAAAGACTTTCCCACAGATCTCAGGAAAGCCAATCCTGCAAGACTGTCTGTAATGAGAGATACAGCCATGTAACACATGATAACTTGCGCCAGGTGAAGTACACTTCCAGAGGGTGAATCTGGAGTGTTTCACGCCAGCACCATTGAATGAAGATGTGAGGAAATGCAGTAGGAGAGCTTGGGGATGCAGGAGTGGGAACAGCAAGGGGGGAGGATCAGGAAGCAGAGGTGTGGTGGGAACAGGGAGGGAGTGGCGCTATTGGGGTGATTATAGCTACCGAGACAGAGCTTGGGTCCATGTAGTGTGTTAACAATCAGCCAAATGCTGAATTCTGGGGCTAAGTTTCTGTTGGGGGGCAGGGTGGTTCTCTTGTGGCTTTTCATCCGATCCCTTGATAGCTTTATAGCCCCACAACTCACAGTTGCCACTTCTGTTTGTTCTGTGTGTAATTTCATCCAGCGGTTCTAGAAACCTCCTAAACCTAGAAACCGGAGATAGTGTTTTGCCACCAGCACCTAAACACAGAATTTCCTTCTCCGGCATTGTCAAATATTTAATTTTTTTTTATAATACAAGGTTAGAATGTTTCTATTTGAAACATCTGTTTACATTCCATATCCCAATAAAGTTATATTGGCATTGATAGCAGGTCAAATCCATTTGTATAATTCACTGAAACCAATAAATATCTATACGTATGAACGTCTGTTGTCTTCTAGTCTATGGGGAGGTGCAGAAACGCAGAGCAGCTGAAGGCTTTGCATCCTGTAGTTAGGGTTGAGTTCTAACTTCTGTTCCAGTTTCCATTTTTATCAGAACTGGCTCTTTAACTTCCCCTCACCAGCTCCTTTTGGCCTGATACTTTTCATGCTTGGTCTCAGCCCAGAGGTGAAAGTCTCCGCAAAATCACTTTAGCTGCTGTTGTGTTCAAAGGGAGTCGCTCATGCCCAGGGAATAAACTTTTGTGCTTGCCAGACTCTCAGGGTACATCTACAGTGTAAAAAACCCGCTTGCGGGGTTGCAGGACTCTGAAATTACAGTGTCGATGTTCAGGCTGGGGGAGGGTCTCAGAGCCCAGGTTCCAGCCTGAATATCGACACTGCAGTGGTATAGGCCTGAGCCTGCGTTGCCCCAGCTGTAGTTTTATGTAGCTACAAAAACAACAAGGAGTCTGGTGGCACCTTTAAAGACTAACAGATTTATTTGGCCATAAGCTTTCACGAAAGAAAAACCTCCATTTTATTTATTATTCTCTAA